TGGGTTGGTTTTTTTTTTTTGGAAGTGACTGAAAGCAAATTTTGGGCATATGTGACATTTCATGTGTGCAGTAGGCCCTTAAATATAAATAAAACAAGATGCAACTTTGATTTATAGCTCTTGTAAATAATTCTCAGTGACACAGGCAGGTTTGTGTATTATGTATATTTTTCATTGCATAAGCACTTATATAACTATGATGATAGGAATTTGCATAAAAACCAAAGCAGCCATACTTTGATGAGTTTAACATTATAGGCTTTCCAGCATATTGAAGTAGCAGGGAAACCTATCATTTTAGTGGAAACTTAGTTTATGAGGAAAAGAGCAAAATTTATTGAAGCATATTAATGCCACTGTGAATTTTTAATAAATAGTCACAGGAAGATGCTCACTCGTTAGTGACAGCATCGCAGCCATCCGATCTAATGCAGAAAAACTCATGTTGGAGAGTTTCTGCATGCCTTGTAGTGAGTGGAAAAATCAATGTGTGTAGCTGCAGTCTCAATTTTGTTAGAAACAATATGTTTTGTTGATCAAGAGAGACACTGAACAGAATATCTCCTGGAAGATGCCGAATACTTTCCCCTCCCGTTGACTGTGGCTCCTCTTAGAATGGGCTAGATTGTGTCTTCTGTGCTGTCTGTATGGGGAGCATTAATGAGAGGCTCTCTTCTTCTGCCTCTAAATTGTGAACCCATGTGTGTGTCATCCAAGTGGTTCAGCTGAAGTGTGGATGTTGCTGGGCTGCTTGTGAACATGGCTGATTTGTGTCGTCTCCGGTGATCACGACAAGAATACGTTCATGCTGTGAATGTGTGAAATTTATTGCACGCCTGGCATTCCTGCCTAGACAAGGAACGGAGGCAGATTAAAAGAGCTGTGCAGGAAGGTTCACTAAGGCACTAACAAATGCTCCTTCTCTTCCAGAATCTTTGTGATCTCTTGTATTTTGAAATGAATAATTAATTTACATGGGTTTTTTTCCTGTTCTGCTGTATGTTTTTCTTGTTCCTAATGTGTGTGTGACGGGATTTTTTTTTCCTGTTCTGCTGTATGTTTGTTTTCTTGTTCCTAATGTGTGTGTGACGGGAAGCCGGTGGCGCCGATGTAATTCTATGTAATGGATAAGCTCCTCCATGGCAATGGCTACA